TGCCCTAAATAAGTTAAGAACTCTTTTAAAAAGGCACTCACTTGTATAATAACTAAAGGTTATTTCATAAAACAGTTAATCTCCCAGGTGTACATCAGGTCCTTCTAAAAATAATACTAAAAGGACTATTTTTATTCCTCTTATAAAAGCACATCATTTTCTTATTTCAATTTTACCTTAATAATCACACAACTTCCCTTTTTCTATTGGTGCACGTGTGAATGCACACTGTATCCCTCACTCTACAAGGCCTATTTCCAAGCAGAAATGAGAGCATGGCACAGTTCTTTGCTGAGTTGCTTTGCTGATCAGAACATAATAATGAATAAAGCTAACCTTATAGGTTTAATAGTCATCAGGATCATTTAGCTTTGAAACAAAATAACCGGACATCTCAAAACTGTATGCCCAGGGGAGGGAGGCCACAATCACTTATTGCAAACTGATAACCACTACTACAAAAAAATTCAAAATGTAAATTATCTTAGGTGTATGCACTACAAAAAGATATATAAAATTTACTTGTGGTATGTACACATACAGACATACACAAAGGATGCGTCAATTTCTCATTAACGTATAAAAGCTTAAATATTTCTATTTAATGCTACTATTTTCTACAAGATAAAATATCTACAGTAAGCAATGCAGTAACCCCATGACAGAAATGAGTGTAAAATAATTAAACTATGCTGTAACTTTTCACAAGTGATTAGTTTAATTTGAAAAAGAACATTAGGAGAAAGTTTATGTTCACAATTTTAAATGTACCAGAATAATAAGATATAAATGCTTTGTACAAGTTATTGCTATTGACCATCTAAAATAAGAGCTGCGTGGAGCCAAGAGCCCTGAAAACTGAGCTTTGGTGAACACTCCCTGGCTCTCGAGCACATGCCACACAGTGCTAGGTGCTTTCTGGGAACTCAGCTGTTCTCCCTTCCTTTACAGATGCCATAGCTTTGGCTCAGACCAAGTCAAGCACCAGAAATGTTGAACAAAACCTTGATGGTATAATTTTCTATGAAAACAAACTGGCATCATCCTCCTCTTAAAACTAAATAAAATGTCAAAGATTCAAAGCTGTCCTTATGTAACAAGACAACAGTCTATTTTCTGAATAATGAGGCATTAAAACAATTTATAATTCAACTGTTCTTAACTAAGGACTACTTGATGTAATTTACTATCAAACATATAAGAATCTAAAACATACAAAACATAAACAAATTACAGAGGCCAATTAAAAAAAATGAAACTCCTTGTAAGAAAAAGTAACTGCCAGAATGAACAACTAACTAGATGCTTATTTCATATAAGACCATCAACCACCCACAAAGTTCACAGTAGCAGAAAACACTGGCAAGACTCAGCATTACTTCACTATTAAGAGCATAAAACACAGAATGTAAAAGTTCCCTAAGCGCAAAGGCCATCTAACTCAATCCTATAGTGCCACCAATTAGCACTCTGTGGTTAAATGCTAAAGAACAAGTGAGCTAAATTCAACCTGTCTAAAAGATCTCATTTGATGACCAAAACAATTGTTTGTGTTAATAAAACCCATTTGTGCTCAAAAACCATGGCCACTGAAACTAGGATGATCAACTCTTTGAAGGCAATTTGGACATATACTATATCCATACAGGGTCCTTTTAGAAATAAATCACAGGGAAATATTTCAAAAAGAAAAAAAAAAATGTTGCCTAGACTATGGTGAAATTTCATAGTTACCTTAATGGGGAGAAGATACCTACATGTCCAACAGAAAGAAGATCGACTATTTTACGATGGCTGTCAGGTTAGACATGAAGACATAAGGGCAGGGTAACTTGGTTATTAGGCACTTGCCTAGCAAGTACAAGGACCTGGGTCCAATCCCCAGCACATTAAAAAAAAAATTAAAAAAAAAAAACAAAACTCCTAGATCCTATTCTTGCCTTGCCCAACACAAGCTGACTTGCACATAATAGTCAGAATGATGTTCATAAACTTGGGACAGATAAGGTCTCTCTTCTACTCAAAGGGTTCCCATCCTATTCAAAGGGTTCCCAAAGGTCTTATAAGGTCTTATAAGGGCCTCAGTTACTTCTCCAATCTCAAGTCCTCTTCTCTCTCTGCTTGCTGTTCTTAGACCACACTGGCCTCCTAACTGTTCTCAAAAAAGCCACATACACTCTTGGGTCTTTGATGTTTTTGCACACAAGGGAGCACACATCCCTCACTCCTTCAGGTCTCGCTGAAGTCTTCCCTGTGAGTGTTTGTGTCTAACCCCTCACCAGTCCTCACTCTTACATACAACTCTGATGTTCTACACTTATGTGGTCTAACTCTCCTGACTGAAGGGATGACAGTAAGAACTTTGTTTTAGCCACACAGTAAACATCCAATTAAGTACTTACTGAGTTAATATTGCACGTTTTCACAATTAACTACAAGAAAAACAGACATTATGAACATGCTTGAAAGAGAAAAAAATATTTGACTGTTCAAATGCTCATCATATTACTAAAAAGTAGATGGCACAAGTAAGAGCCTGATCAGTCATGATTATGAGTTTAAGGGACCAAAAGATTCTAGGGAGCATAGGTTTTAAAATGACTGCTGGTTAGGGATGGGGATATAGCTCAGTGGTAAAGTGTTTGCCAATTGTGCTTGAGGCTCTGGGTTAGATCTGCAGCACTACCAAATGACTGGTAAAAGATCAGTTAACCACCATTCAGGAAGCTGGGTTTGATCCCCACAAAAACCAGGCATGGAAGAAGCACACACCTATCCAAGCACTCTGGTGGTGCAAGCAGAAGAATCAGAAGTTCGAGGTCTTCCTCAGCTGCATCGCTGAGCTACAGGAGACCCGTGGTAGGGGAGGAAGGGTGGGTTGACTTACTGAAAACTTTCCTCCATAAAACTGTGATCAACTTTAAACCTCTTAAACCTTGTTCCCAAATCCTCAAAATTTAAGGTGAAGACACAATCACACCAGAGGCCACCAAAAAAAAAAAAAAAAAAAAAAGTGTGCACTTTTGGAAAGTTTTAATATAAAACTGAGTAATATGGGAATTTCAGTTCACTTTTAACATGAGTGTCTATGGGTGCCTTTAGAGAAGTCCAGAAGCGGAATGAAAATTTTTTTTATTAGAGGCTTGTTTTGTTTTTCCTATGCAAAAAGAGTCCATACATTTCACCCTATTGTCAAGGTATCAGTGGCACAGGAAAGATTGAGAGTGACATTTTTATAATAGAAGTGAAATGCAACATTTAACATAAAGGTACCTCTCAAAGAGGTATGAGATGTATATCAGACACTGAATCGAACCATTCAACTCATTCAACAAATGCTGGGAATCATACAATCCTTGCTAATGAACACAACTGTAAAAGAATCAGAAGTGGCAAGGGTAAAAGATTCACTGAAACACCATAAGAATATCTGAGAACATAAATTTAATTTTGAAACAAAGTATTACAGAAATGCATAAAGACAGAAAGGAGTCTGGGACCTAATCTAGCATTATTATAGCAAAGTGTTGCAGAAATAGATTGCATCAAAAAGAAAAGAAAAACTACTCGCAGGCATACCCACCCCCACACATTCTGACAGGAAACTCAAAAGTTTCCAAATCCTGTTTCCAGCACCATCTCTTGTAACTGTCCGCTTTTGAAGGCAAACTACCCTGTTTAATTCTGAGGGTCGACGCTTGGACTAATAAAAACAGAAAGGTTCTTCGGCCACCCGAGAAGCAGAAAATAGTGGCTGGTACCTGTAATGCTTGACCCATTAACCTCCTGCCCTTTTATTCCATTTCTTACACAGTACTTCCTTCACCGCAGCAACAAAATGATTTTCCCTTCCCGACGGCAATACACTCAACTGTCCCTCAACGCTAGCTCTTTTCCAAGGGATGAAAGGTCCCCTAAACTCCAGTTTTCCATACTGTAAGGAAATCTCTGGTTTTTCTCTTTTTGGGGGAGAGTGGGCGGGGGGAGAGACAACTGTCCTTCCTTGTTCTTCTCCTTACAACAGCAAATTACACAATTCAACAGAAGACACTGTCCTTAACTTTCTGAGTAAGGACACAAGCCACACTTCCAGCACCCCGACAGTCCTCACACGCCCTCGACGGAAGGGAGACGAGAACCACACCGTGGCCTCTTCCCTGACAAAATTCAGGGGAAGAAGCAGAGACCACCGGGGAGAGCAACGCTGCAAAGGCGAACACATGGCAAGCCGCAGAAGACAGAGAGGGCAGGGAGGGCGGGAACCGGGCTGGCGGCGGAGCGGGACGCAGAGGTGTCAGCGCCAGCGGCCGGGGCAAAGGCCGCGCGGAGGGCACCGCACCTCCCCGGGCCGTGGGGACGGCACCTCGCAGCCGGCGCGGACACGCGTCCCCTCCCGCGGCCCGCCCCTCGCGGCCGGTCCCGCAGGCCAGGCCGGGCCGCCGCGGTCCGCGGGCGTGGCTGGCTCCG